TCTCTCTCTCTCTCTCTCCCTCTGTTTCTCTCTCTCTATCTATATACATATAGTTTGTGTGTGTGTGTGTGTGTGTGTGTGTGTGTGTGTGTGTGTGTGCATGTGTGTGTGTGTTATACATACAAATATCAACAGCTAATCTGGACATTTTAGTAACACAAGAGTTCCGGTTTCGTCTATTTCATTCATCATTACCGCCCAAATAATTGTAATAACATCATAATATAACACGGTTCCAAAATCGGGAAATCAGGACTGTTATCGTGAAGTTGGAAGCAGTGAATCTGATTTGGGAAATTCCCGACAAAATTGGGAAGGTTGGCAGGCCTGAGTAAGTAGACCCGGAAACATAAAACACTTACAATTACAATTAAAATTATCACCTTATCGTTCCTGTCAAACTCATTGAGCATGATGATGGTGTCGGAAGAAGTGTCGTAGAGCATCCGCCAGAAGTCTGCCACGGTGGTCGGGAGCGGCATTTGTGTCACAATAAACTTGTCCTTCTGAGTGTAGCCCTAGAAGGTGTGGCGAGAGGAAGAAAGAGAAAAATGTAACTTTAAAAAAAAAAGACATCAACAACTTCTCAGGACAAGCATTTAAGAGGAAAGTGTCAAATCTTTGCTTACAATTCCAAGTTTACTATTATTGCAAGCACACAACTATTGCTTCACTAGATTAACCAAATATAATAACACTAAACAATATATCAGAATGATTTTTAAAACAATTTTTTTAAATGTCACCTTAGCAGACAAAAATCTACCTCTAAGAAAAAAGGCTCCTTGCCTGTGTTCTTACAAGAAGTATAAGTACCTTTTTTAAACGGGACTCACTGGTCTAATTCCACGACCAGAAACTGGCCACAAATGTAACGATAGATGTTTGACAGAAATAAGGAACAAACAACACCAGAGCACCCATCAATTCATTTTGGTTTACCTCATAAGTTAACAGAAAAGAGAAAAACCTTCTAACAGAGTGTATGAGCTTACCGCCAAGTAGACCGCATTGATGTAGTCGTTGCAATCTTCCACAGGGGTGTATAGAAAGGGCCGGCTGCGATTGGCTGGAAACATAAGAAGTCAAAGCAAGCATCAGAAGTGGGTAAGACAGGAAAAAGATTGTGTCGTAAAGGGGTAGCTTTGTCAGTGATACTTTATAATCACACCAGAACTTTAGTTATTATAATAATCACGCGCTGAAGCTTTCTCAAAGCTCAAGTCATAAGAATGACTAAGGGAAAACATTATTTTATATTGTTTTCTCACAATTACAAAAAAAAATTACTTAACCAAATACATTTTGACCAAAATAATGACTTAACACTTTTCCTACCGTGTAGCTACACATACATAACTTTGAGCATTTCTTTGAATAATTTGAGGCAACCTACCTGGGAAGTTTGAATGATGCTGTTGTTGCACTTTTTTAGTGATGACCTTTCAATGCTGGAAAATTGTTGATTTCATACGACACCTTCGATATTGCATAATCAGTCTTAGAAACCACAAACTAATATAATTGGAATAAATCTTCAATATTGTACCACCATCTGACAGATTATTTTTTAAACTTCAGTTTGACGGGCAATATGATATGGTTAGTGTGTGTTTAGTTGGATGTTTTGACATTTAATTTTCCTGTGGTGGGGTGGGGGTGTAAAAATAGGTCAGGGAAAAGCCCTGGGCCAGTGGTGGATTTTGGCCTGGTAGAAAAAGAGTTAAGCAATATGATCAAAATAATCACTTAAGCAATAGTGCTATGATCAAAATAATGACTGAAGCAATAGAGCAATGATCAAAATAATGACTTAACTCACTCGACCCTAGGCCCACACTTCCGGCTTGTCAGCCCTCCCAAGAGATTTTTTACCCCTTTTTGAAAAATTCTTTAAAAATACTAAATTTTAACACATCCTACACAAATTTGGTACATTTTTTTTTTCAAACTTTATTTGTGCGTATTGAAAATTTGACAGTCACTGCAGTGGAACCCACAAGGAGCACGAGGCAGGGGTAGGCCACGGGAAACATGGAGGAGATGCGTGGAAAGGGACATGAGAGAAATGAAGCTCACTTGGAACGAGCTTGGAAGGATGGCTCAGGACAGAGATAAATGGAAGGAGCCTGTATGTGGCCTATACCCTGCCAGGGGTGAAAGGCATTGATGATGATTGAAAATTTGAAAGCAAAATATGTCATAGTTTTTAAACAATACTCCATGGAAAAGGGTCTATATACAGAGTCAAAAGGTATACAAAAAGCGAAGAAAAGAAGTGCGTTCAAATTTCGCACCCCCTCACATGGTTCACAAATATAGCTTTCTTTGCTCTAAATTAGGGCTTGCACTTCTGGTCATAGTCTGTTTGTTTTTTTTTTATGGTTACTCTTCCAATCAAGCTATGGTCTGCTTCACACAAAAGTAGTGCTTTCGGTCACGAGAGCGAAATTTTCCATACCGATACAGTCGGAGTTAGGGTTGGAGCGTTGCGCACACATACCGATATTATCGGCGCTAGAGCTGGGTGAGCTGAGCAATAGCGCTATGATCAAAATAATGACTTAAGCAATGGTGTTGTGACTAAAGAAAGCAGCAGTGTTATAATCAGAACAATACCTACCTGGCAGAATGTTCTTGAACCTGTTCTTGGCCATGTTCTCCTCCATGAGCGCTGCCGAGCACTCCTCCCTCTCCATGGTGGGCGACAACAGCTGCAGCACCTGGAGACATCCACATACAAACTTGTACAAATCCAGATGACAATGGGAAAAAAATGAGAGACCTATATGTACAAATTTACACATAGGAAAACAGTGAAGGAAAAAATGACACACAAACATACATAAATTAATAGACCCCTACATATAAAGATGGCGATAAAGAATGACACACACTCGTATACACACAAATTCACACATTAGAAGACCACAATACATATATGTACAAATCTGTCTGCCAATACATGTGTGCACAGCTTTTCTATTGCAGACTTCCTGTATGTAAATTTGTATATCATGTACGTGTGTCAGCGTTCCAGACAGAAAAAATGTTTCTTTCTATCAGAGTGCTTAGTCTTGAATGAACACACTGAGAAATTACATCAAGAAACAAGGTAAAAATGAACTAAACTAAAACCATGTAAATAATTAACAATTCTGAAAAGTCGTACTAACGCAGGAAGATAAAATTTGATCTGATAAAACGGTACAGCAAAAACACTAGGAGAATATCTTAAAAAGCTGTAACAGCTTCACTTACATCATGCTGTTTCTCCATTGGCGACTCTTCTTCCCCCTCTCGAGACAGCATTTCCTCGTAGGTGCTGTGGAAACTGGAGCGAGCGATGGTCGTGTTGCCCGTCTTGATAGCCTCAAGGACTGCTTCATACACAAACACGTACTGCTCCTGGGGAAGATTCAGAACCCAAACCAGTGAGCAAACTTCTGTATAGACATACTCATGCACACTCAATTGTTATATATATATATATATATATATATATATATATATATATATATATATATATATATACATACAGTCGAACCTGCCCTGACGGCCACCTCTATAAGACGGCCACCTGTACAAACGGCCACTTTCCATTTCCCCCTTTGCGTTTTTTCTATATAATTTAACTGTGTAAAACGGGCACCTGTCCAACGCGGCCGCGGCCACAATAATTTAACACACAACCCCTATAATACTATGCAATAACACCTGTCTAAGACGGTCACCTTAGTGACTCCATTACGTTTTGTCATAAATTGTGCTTTGGCCCCTAGCGTTGTGGACGAGCCGTCATAATTCAATCACCTGTCGTTGTTGTTAGGTAGTCCCTCCAACCGATCATGTTGCGTAGGCTCCTCCCACTGTTGACCAATAGCTACCAATTTTCAGCTGCTGGTGAGGTAAGCGTGTGATCCCTCATAACCCATAAGCCCCGCCCAGAACTCATACACAAATCGTAAGTGAGATGAGTGGTTACTGTTTACCCAGTCTGTAACAAAGTAACAAAGGACGTCAACATGAACTTGTTACAGAAACGTCCCTCGTTCTCCGAGTGGTGGCGACTCATGTGTTTGTTCTAACATGGCACTCAGTCTTCTTTGTCTGATACATTTCGTTTTATTGTCACCCTTGTGCAAAATCAGTGACAAAATAAAAATTACAAACGAAATACAAACCAACAGCAACAACACCAACAAAGACAACAACAATTGGGCTACTTTCGATTGGGGCCTCAGATGGGAATGGTTTGTTTTCTTCATCTTGATCAGTCCTGCCTAAGACGGTCACCTGTCTTATACGGCCACTTTTCTCCTTGACAATGGGTGGCCGTCTTACACAGGTTTGACTGTATATATATATCAAAATAATCTCCATACAATAATTCATTTTATCTTTATATCTTTATCATTATACAGTCAAACCTGCTCTAACCACCACCTGCCCAAGTAAAATCACCAGTACAAACGACCAGCTTCCCACTTCCCCCATGCATTTTTTTCTATATTTAAATAACACTGCTCAAGAGAACTACCTGTCTGAGATGACCACTTTTCCCCTTGACAATGGGTGATTGTCTCAGACAGGTTCGACTGTATATGGTATGGTACAGTTGATAACTCAGTGTTCTGCAGTCATATCTTACCAGCGTCTGGATCATGTTGACTCTGTTGGCCCTCAAGAGCTGAGCACAGCCCAGCACGTCAACCTCATTCTTGTCAGCTGCTTGCTCCAGCAAGTAATTCAGAGCGATAAATGTCCCTGTACGCCCAATACCAGCACTAGAAGAAGAAGAAAAAAAAAAGATGATAAAATACAGCAGACAGAACAGAAAAGGTAAAAAAAATCTACTCCTCTTTGACATCCTCATCTTAACATTTTACAGTCACACAACCAGCAGTACAAAATACTCCATCCGGTCACCCAGCCAGGAGAGCGACTGCAGCGGATTTCTTGGGCCTGGTGCAGAACTGCGCCAGGTGACTGGAACGGATAATTTTCAACAACGCATTATTGCGCCAAGTGACCGCAGTGTTAAAAGACCAGGTCTGAAGCAGACATCCATGATCATGGATCATCATTCATTCCCTCTACTCTATGCTCCTATGTCAACCTGGTCTGTCCTCATCACTCACTTGTTAAAGTTCTCTAAGTTAGTTATTCTTGGCCTGACTGTCTCTTTAGCCTTCCATTCCTCCAAAAAAGAGCATGATACATGAGGCCTAAATGTTGATCCAAGTACAGGCTATACAGTACAACTGTTAGGAGGGACAGGGCACACATCTACTTTTTGTCAGCATCTCGAGTTGATAGCAAAATAGATTTTTCAGAAGTATGTGACTTTTAAGAGAAAAAGAGCAGGTTAAAAACTACCCAAATTATGGTCCAACATTTCATGGCACCAGGAACAACAAGCAGAACAAGCATAAAATAATGTTTGTGTTTTGTTGTTTTTTTAAGCAATTAATTTTATATTGTGAAATAAGATATTTACAAACATTCAACTTCTTCAAATCTCACCCCTGGCCTGTGCAGAAAAGTAGAGTAACTTGCGATACTTATTGAGGTGTTTTAATTTAAATCATTGTACAGAGACAAACCCAAACATGAAATAATACATAAAAAAATAAAAGGATTTAAAAAAGAAGTAAGTTTTAGTTTTAGTAGAGGTTTTACGGTTCTCGCAACACCACAACTTCATATGAGCGCCAAGGGGCGGATGTCAACAGAGAAGTCCTTACTGGGAACCAGACTTACTCTGCTCACCTCCTTATTTTCAACAGCACAAAGTCTGCTTCAACTATCAAGGCACCCCAAAAATAGCGGGTCACAAGAGAGTGACAAACATACAAAAGAAGTAGAGGAAAAATGGCGATAGTAAGGATTAGGGAAGAAAAAGCAACAGTTCCCCGTTGCAGCTCAGGCACAGTTATGAGAATGACATGGATGAATCAGCCCATTAACAATTACAATTCTACTGTGCATAAGAACTCGAGATGTTAACGTCCCCCCCTTTTGGAATGGCCTAAAGACGCTTCAGTCAGTAGCACCACCCCGGGGGGTAACAAAGAAGTAAGACAGGAGCCTTTCGAGTTTCAAGTAAAGAGAATTACCTCGACACAATAATAGTCATAATTACAGTGTCAGGAAAGAGAAAGACAGGAACAACAGAGGAAAAGTACAGAAGTAAGATCTACCAGTGCTGCCTCCAAACCACCCACAAAACAGGAGTCAATTAAGGCGACGTTTTGAGAACTCTTCTGTACTGAATAAAACATCTCTGACACAAACGACACTGGTTAATGGAGACAATAAAATCATTCATACAACTGATAATTGGGAGTATTGGTTTTACTGAAAGCTGTCAAAATATTTGAGAAGAGGCATAATCATGAAGAAGCATATTTCTGTGAGTGGTAAATTATTATGAATATGAGAGTGAGTTTACACCCATGAGGATGTGCAAAATTGATAAGCACTAATTTATGAATATACATGAGAGTGAGTTGTGGAATTATGAAGATGTAGGCCTACAAACCAAAGAGAGGTAAGTTGTATCAAGATGTAACACACCTGTGAGCGTTTCTGACGACGTACACACTTATGACAATACGCATATCTATTTGTCAATGAGAATACCATACAGCCCTGCAGGTGTGTGCCTTCTCTTACCTGCAATGTGATAAGACTGGTGCCGTGTCATCGGGTTTAAAGTTCATGACCTTTCTCCTGAAGGCCAGCAGCGTGGTCGGGTGGGTGGGAGCCCCGTGATCGGACCACGTGGTGAAGTGAAACTGTTTCACAATGCGGTTGTGCTCCATCTCCTGGGGATGCAATAAGACAAGTATTATTATTGCTCTAACATTTTAAACCCTCATCAACACAATTTACATCATAAAGGAGACGAGCGATCATTAAGGAAGTGGGCTGCTTCCAACCTGCCTGTAATGGCCAGCCAGCCCAGGCGCAGTGGGACAGATACAACATCCCAGCAGAAAGACCAAGACACTCGATTAAAAAAATAAAGCTTCCCTGTTTGGGGGAATTCATGCCTTCTGCATTCAACAGTGAAGAGTCTAACCATTACACAACCCACAGATACCAGCAGAAAAGATGAGAGAGCAGAAGATAAAAGTCTGTGTTTGAAAAGCAGTGAAAACTCAAAAGACACGATATTGAGTCTTTTTGTCATGCTCATCACAACATGTACAATGAAGCCAAGTCAACCCTGTTCCCCGTTCCTTGTTTTATGTTTTAGCAAGCATTTTATAGCACTTGCAAGACAGTGAGGTCATATAAGAGCCCAAGATTAGAGGTGTTACAAAACAGTAACAAACATAAAAAGTAAGAAAGAGAAAAAAGGATGATGGATGTTTGATACGAAAGAAGGAGCAAACCACACCTTCATTAACCATCTATTTAGTCTTAGTACTTTTAGTCATATCGACAATAGCCCAGTTTCTCTTGTTTGCGTAAAATATGTACACATCCATACAGCAATAGCAGTGAAAAACCAAGACAGATGAACAATAAACAGAGGGATAGCAACAACAAAAAAAGGACTTATCAGTGGCACATTCCAGCCACCTGCTCTGCTGTCTGAGTAAAGAGAGGAACATCAACATATTAATGGTTATTTAGTGCAAGGAAAAGGCATGACAGACAGACAGACAGAAACAACAGAGGGAAAGAAAAGTAGATCCTACCAGTGGCATCCTCCAACCACTAACTCCACCTGCTCTGACACAAGAACAAGTGATGATAATATACCAATCAGATAGGTATTTCAACTGTATCCCAACTGGATGATATGTGTTTCATAGGAAAGAAGGAGCAGACCACACCAGATCATTTGCCAACCACCAACTAACGGGTACTTTTTGAAGTCACACTGTGTTTGGATTGCAAAGACTGGCAACAGTACCATGGGACTCATTGCAGTCTTAAGTTTAAAAAAATGTTTCGTTCATTTGTTTGTTTGAGTAAAGAGAAATACACTGACACAATAAAGGTCATTTAGCACTAGAAATATGTTAGATTGACAAAACCAATGTGGGTGACTGCAGGGTGCTCTGGTGCGGTTTGTTCCTTTTTTCCTATTAAACACCTATCTTCTTTATCTCTCCTCCTTCTTTAGTGTGTTTGTTACTCTCCAGTAACACCTCTAACCTTCAGTACTTATATGACCGAACTGTGATGCAAGTGCCGTAAAACTCTCCCTAAAAGACATAAACAACAGAAGGAAAGAAAAGAATGATCTACCACCAGCATCCACCCACCCGCTTCATCAGTCCAGCGGGTCAAGAAGGTCACAACAGTCTATCATGTTGTCAAGGGTCCACAAAATACAAATACTATCCCACCACTGACCTTGGTGAGTTCAAAAGTCCTGATCGTGAAGTCTGAATATTTTGTGGCATTGACCAATAGGACAGTGATGTCTCCGTACTTGTTGCTCCCATCCTCTGGCCAGTACTGTTCGCATTTTTTCTGAAAACAAAAGGAGGCCGAACATAAATTACAAACCAGAGTGAAACTTACGTCTTTTTCAAGTGCCAAATCTGAAAAAGACATTAGTGACCATGTTCGCCACTCATGTCTCTCCTTGGAGGCTCTCAAAAAAACCTATATCATCCAGGTCTCTTCCCAATATACATCTGCTCAGGTTCTCCGAGTAAGCCATTGTAGGTCTACCTCTGTCTCTTTTGCTTTTTTTTTTTTTCAGTGAGTGCATAACCTTTAGGGCCTTTTTATGTCAAAATTGAGCATTCTAGGAACTCCACGCGTCTGTTCCAAATTGTTTCTGTCCATATTGTGGATTTCATGCTGCTACTGTCATTCATACATTTCTAACATGCACATCGAAGATCTGTTGTATAAATCATTGCTGTTTATAAATGTAAAGCGTCCTCACTGATATAATTTATAACATTTAGGAGACAGGCTTCTTTCACAGAGCTGATCGGGCCAACCCAGGCTGAATGCATCATATAGTGCTCCAGTAAAAAAAGAGATACATTCAAAATTGTCCAAGATGCCCACCCATGGTCAAGGAGAAAAGTGGTTGTACTACTCGGGTGGACCTCTTGTACAGTGTCATTGTAATATTTTCAAAAAAGGCAAAGGGGGAAGGGGGAAGAAGTTGTTTGCCTATGCAATTTTCTTGGACATGTGGCCGTTAGAGCAAGTTCGACTATACTTATTACAAAAAGCTACCTGACATGATAATCAAAATCGCATTTGTACCGTTTGAGCACAATTGCAAAAACATTATAATAATAATAATAAATAAATAATAACAATATTAATGATAACAATATTAATAATAAATTAATAATAATAAGTAAAATAATAATAACTAAGACCACTTCTTTAGCACCCTCTCCCTAGTGGCTCTTGGTGCGTCATAATAAAACAAGAATAAAATTAACACTTCATACATACAGGCTCATTCAACAAACAGCAATCTCTTCAAATACAAATACACCCATAATGTGACAAAGAACAATATACAGAAAAGGGCAATCACTATGGCCACTGATCACATTAAAAGAATCAAACTAATTAGAAAAATAGGATTACATAAATTTGTTTTTAGACCCGATTTAGATTAAGTCAAAGTAGGCACCTGTCTTGCATGCAGATGCACCACAGATGCTCACCGGCACACCTACAGTGAGCTAAAAATGACGGATGGTGGAAAGCAGCCATATTTGCTAGACATTACTGGCTCACCAATCAAAACATAAACAAAAAGAGGGGTTGAAAGACAAGCCCTTAAGGCCAAATCCTAAACTCTCATTACTAAAAATCGGATAAACAAAGCAAATATCTGAAATGATCAGTCACTGTCTGAGATAATAATATCATGACGAAAGCTAATGCAGCTTCAATTTGGTCAGACATACCTTGCAAGCCTCCATCAAGTTGGTCAACATCACAATTTTGGAGACACGCTGCTGCCATACCATCCTCCAGAAGTCCCGGATCATCACTTTGTTTGGACCTTTTGGGAACCAAGAAAAAGCCACATGAGTTTATCTATTAATATAGTTTTCCCATTGATTGCTGAAAGAGGAAACATTTTTTTTTGGGGGGGGTGTGTGATAATTTACATTCTTTTAATTAAGCATTCAACTTTATTCTCGGCTTTAGCCCTTCACTCAAATATCATAAAGTCGAATCTGTAAACAAATATTCCAAACACATAGAACAAGGTTTTCTTGTTTCCACTTCATTCTCACAAATTCCTTACCATAGACCCTCTGGTCAGGAAAATTAACAACCTTATTTCAACTGTCCTTTTCACCCTGGCCACACAGTCAAAAAAAAAAAAAAAAAGGATCAACTGTGCCAAAAAAGGCCGGAAAATTTAGCAGCGCAAGTGTGGAACATGGCAACAGATAAATCACTGCCATTAAGCTGAAGCCCTGTTTTCATTTCTAGTGAGTCAGTATTTGCTTTTACTTCCAGTAAGTGCAAAAAAATGTGAACACAGGAAGGATGCCACATTCACAGGAAATTCTGCAGTAAGCTGACAAAACACTTTTTTTTTTTTTGGATTTTGGCGCCAAAATTTGTTATTTGCTAAATCCAAAGTCAGATCAGTTACCCTACTTGTGTGAAAAAAATCAAAGTGAATCTGTGGCTAGTTTTTGAATAAATTAGAATTAAAATTTCGGAATGACTCTATTTATCAATTGTTGCGCTGACAAAGAACCTCTTTTTCTCAAAAATGCTGAGAAGAAAAAAGAGGCGTTTTGTCAGCTTACGGCAGAGTTGAACAAATGGGCGGCCTTTGTTGGCAATGAAGGTGAGCAGAAAAGGGTAAAACAAAGAAGATCTTGTCTCACTGCAGCTTCCAGCCTGTTCCACAGATTTGTCCTTACTTACCTTGAGATGCTATGTAGGCCTTCGGTCTCGAGTATCCCTTGAACATGGGAGGAAACAAAACAGGGAGTTAACATTGCAGATATATGGTCACCATTTTAAAATAATGAATACAAAAATCATAAAAAATTAATTCCGAACATCCCTTCTTAAAAGTGGCTTTCACACATAATGTCATTGTAACCCAATGAGGCTTCACAGGAAAAGGAGATCCCAGACAAGCGCACTAGATCAAGTAAGATTTGAATAGGAAGGCAAAGTTAATTTTTACCCAAACACGATCTCTAAACATAAAAAATTGTCTCAGAAAAATAAGACGATTTTGTTAAAAGAAAAAAAAAAACCTTCTATTTATCGCCAAGGGTAAGTATGGGACACAATGGCATGTGCACAACCTACCTAAAATAATTCAGACGGTACAACAAAGGTATGTAACACAAAATATCACACACAAACCAATACAAACCAACATTGCTGAACACCATAGAGTAAAGCCCCACATCTTTTAGTTGAGCCATTGAGTCTATCTCAAGGACACATAAAAGTGACAACACCCACATAAAACTCATGTCACAGGTAAATTTTGCCATTATTGGTAAGCCTTCTGTCTTTCCTAATGCTGTTATGACTATCCTGTCAAAAAGATAATTTGACTTTTCAAGAGACAACATCCATGATCCCAAGGAGGCTTTCCATCCCCCAAAACATTCAAATTTTGTGACTATTTTATGCTTTCATCAAAACAATTTAGGCAAACAGGAAGAAGGTTTGCAGCAATCAGAAAGAAAGCAGGGCGTTGCAAATGAAAAAGACATGCCCCCTATTACCCAGAAACTATTCACCTTTTACTTGGAATATATTCCAGGAAAAAAGGTAGGAAAGACAGACAGAAACAACAGATGGAAAGAGAAAAAGTAAGACCTACTGGTAACACCCTCCAACAACTACCAAACCCCTCTCTGAGTACATAAAGTTTCATGTGCTATCAAATATCGGAAACAAAATGAGAAAAGGAAAGTTGAACAACAAGCTAAAGGAACATGAAAGTGTGCTCCAATCTGAGAATTCTTACATCCATGTAGTTGGCATTGACATAGTCCGAGTTGGGCTCATTTGGCAGTGGGTCCAGAATCACTCGCGAGTGGTCGTCTGAAAAAGAGACCCAAAAACTATGATGCCACATCAGCTCAGCTATATGAAACAAAACAATATGTACAGCCAGGTAAAAGAAAAGAGCAAACTGGGATACTGCTGAAAACAATATTCAAATCTGAAAAATGCAGTCTAGGAAGTATATAGTGAAACTGGCAAGACACGAAAATATTTTCTTTATGTATGAACATCGCTTATATGCATGTTTTGAAAACAAAGAATATACATGCATAAAAGAAAAAATTCACCACCCGAAAATCCCTTCGTTATATGGTTGTTTTCCTCTGTGCATGTTCGCTTTGTGTGTGCTACACTGTAACTTCACCACATAAAAATTTTCAAACAAATAGCTGGGACCCCAGAGCTTTCTTGTCGTATCTCCATTTTTTTAAACAGTGAAAACAGTTTTTACAATGAGTGAGCTTAAGAACAAGTCACATTTTCACTGTTAAAAAAATAGATATATGACAAGAAAGAACTGAGGTCGAGTAAGGTTCAAGTCTTCCATTTACTTTGGTTAATGAACTTTCACCACAAAAATATGTAAACTGCTAAACTGCTTCGAGCAACAGAACAAACACTGGTTATTACGATATAGAGAAAAGTTTATGTTCATGACCCATGATAAGAAGCAAGATAGTAACTTGGCACCGCTAAGACCTCCAGCATTAGAAAAAATCATTGATGTAGCTCAGCACATGAAACAGTACTAAGTACGACAAACTTGACACAAAAAACGAACAAGCTCTTAATAAAACAAAATATTGATGTATGAACTAAGCATGCAAGAGAAAAATGTTCTGAGCTTACAAGCAAAGATGTTTCCATATCTATTCTTGACACGATTCTCTTGTTTGCGGGCAATGTCACAGAAGGCTATCAGGCCCATCGGCAGCTCCTGGTAGAGAAAAAAAAAAAGAAAGAATTAAAAGCAACGTGCATAAAAGATCACAATACAAACGTATCTTATGCTGAACATTCGATCAAACGCTGGAAAAATAATCACTAGTTTTCTCTCTCCAGCTCATTCCCCATTTCTTATCACCACTGCATGTATTCATTCAGTGGTGGATCCAACGAAAGAGAAAGTAAATCAAGTCTCAAATTGGGAAAAGAGCCACAGTAAAGGTATATCTCCATCCCGCCTCCTTAACACTTGTTAAAATCGTCTTCTGTGCACAATGTCACTGCTACCCCCATGTCGGACACTCAGTGGAGACCTTGAATAAGTGTAGTAGGTCAACAAAATTTCAAAAGGAGGGGCTGAAGTAGACTTTTACCAAAGTCTCATCTGCACGTTTTACAGAAGTAGTCACCTGAAACTCTTTCTTGAAGCCTTCACAGCCGTTCTCTTTGTTTTTGAGGATGTAGTCATACAGGGCTGGAATGGCTACCGGACAGGTCTGCTTCCTGTTGTTGACGTTCTCATAGATGGGCTCCTGCACCTCATTCCTCACATTGTCGTCTTCTTCCCGCACAAATGACGGGGGTTCGCTGCCTGGAAACCACAAAGAAAACTTTAAGTAAAAAAATGCAGCTTACAACAAATCAGTACATAGAACATTTTTTTTTTAAGCCAAGGGTTTCTAGTAATGAAAGGCATGTCGACGCAATAATGGTCATTAAGTGACAGCTCGTAGAAAAAAAACAGGGACAGTAAAGAAGTTGGAACAACCAGTGTCTCTCCCTACACGCCGCCCTAAACAACCATAGACCATAGACTAAGAACACAGAATTCAGATAATCAACATCTGAAGAACAGATCACATCTCAGAACCCATTGACTGCCACTGACACAAAACTTATGAAAAATTGATTATTCAACAGCTTCAATCTAAATATTTCCTTCATTCTTTTTCTGTGCACCACTCAAACACTCAAACGATAAAACTCATGGCTGTACTACAGTCTTATATAAGGCTCTGCTAACTAGTCACTCACAATAGTCCACTTAAGAGAAGCCAAAGAGTAAGGAAAATACACACAAACTCTTCACAACTCACTCTGACCATTTAATGTTTCTGGGTAGCCTGATCTGATAGCCCGCTATGTGATCAATAAGAGACAATACCCCAACATGACAAACACAGGGGCAGGAAAGAAAAGAATCGGTAAAAATACAAAGAGAATGCGCCAAAACAATGGAAAAGAGAAGGAGGGAAGAGGAGGAGGATGCAAACAAGAAAAGCAAGAAGAAAAACAGGAACAAGAAAAACAAAAAGATGAGCAACAGCAACAACAACCCTAGGACAGAGATAATTATGTCTGACCTATCCTGGAATCGCCCAGTAGTTGACAGCTCTCGTCTCTGGTCAGGGGGTCCTCCACTTCCACAGAATTGCCGGGAATTTTGAGCTTCTTAGTCCTCTTCCTGTGCAGAAATCAAGAGAAAGAATTCTCCTTTATCTTAATCTTATGCATTTTCTTGCTTGACTACATGGTTGTTGGCTTTAAATTCATTAAACCACAATATTATCTGATTTTTTACTCTTAGAAAGACCTCTCTTTTTTCTCTTATGCAATCTCCTGCTATGCTTCATAGTAGCTGACTTTCAGATCCTAAATCCACAGGGTTACCTGATTTTTTTAAGGGCAAAGTCATCCTAAATGCATAAAATATCCCTTACTTTAAGAAAACTGCGACTATTTTCTTTAGAGAATTAAGCGGTTATTTAAACTTACAGGAGTTTTTATCAGTTTAATGAAGGGACCAATTTAGAATTTTGTTAACAACAGTCAGTTGTATTTCAGCATTTCTTTTACTGCATGAAACATACACTCAGGACCCCTCAATTCATCCCCTGTGTCCATGAAAATAGAGGGTGAGAAAACTAAGAAGAAAACCCCAGTTTAGCCACAGACCAAGCCGACACAAACCAGGAATCGTTTTCAATATTTTTCCATGAGAGGGAAGCACCTTACCTGCAAAGGAATGAATTCCCATGCATATGTTTTCTATCATGATCAGACCCTGCATCATATTCTTTCCAGTACCTATCAATAGAAACGCTCTGCTTGTGACCCTGTTTGTAGCTTATGCAATTTCGATTTTATCCTTACAATTAAATATAAATCATAATTTACTATTCTATATGATATGTGTGTCCACTTTACATGTTGAAAAGTTAGTTCACAAATCAGCAATTCCAGACACTGAAGAAGGAGGACATTAGCACAAGAACTCACCTGTACACAATGCAGAACACCAGCATGACAATGATAAGAATGGCACCAACTCCCAGCCCTGCACCCAGAGCCACAGAAGCCGAGTTATTCTTGGCTTTGATTCCTGGGGACGACAACAAATAGCATGTAAGAAAAACAAGCCTGACATTTTTCATAATTTCATAACAATGAAGAAAAACTTATTAAGACTATCCATCCCACAAAATTAAACTAAGAAATTGAACAAGAAAAGCCCACTACGAAGCAAGGGGGACCAAACATTAGACATTCCCACTGCACACCAGCATGATGTGCATTTCTTACTGTCAAGTAATTCCACACAAAAAAAAGTACTCTGTTTCAAATGTGAAATGCTTGTTTCAACTTATTGTCTGTATCTCTGTATCTTCTGTCCATTTTCCCTCCTTTTTTAAAACCTGAAAACTGCACCCAGCCTTACTTTCAAAATAATCAATTTGTATCGATCAGTGAGTTATCCTGCTACAGAAGAAAAAATGGGTAAATGTTTTAAATATAACCCCCACGTCTTCACGCGTTACAAAGATCACAGTCCTGTCACTGTTTCCCATCCCTGTAAGACAATTGCAACCACACAGCGACCCTGGACATTGCGCATAAGGTCAAGCCATGTAAAACAAGGAGGGTTATACTGGTCTTATACCAAAAACTTTCTATAACACTGTGAGCTTACTTTGTAAGCATTAAAAGTCTAGCAGCTCAAAATTGCAGGTGGGGGGGGGGGGGTGTTAATCTAAACTATACTTTGCAGTTCGAAATTTGGAAATTTGAAGGGCAGGTGAGGCAATACTTTACTTTTACCAAAATCTTTGTAAAATACTGCAAGCTTACTCTGTATGCACTCAAAGCCTGTGTGCCCCTCCTCACAGCCAGAGGAGCAGCGTCCAGTAAAGGGGTCACAACTCTGCTTGTCTTTGCACACTCCGCATTTCTTCAGGCAGTCTCGCCCGTACATGTGGCTGGGGCATACTGGCAGAGACCGACCAAGTGAAGGAGGATTATTTGAGAAGCCAATGAAAAAAACCTTTTCTGTCTTAGTTTTAGTAAGAGCACTTGCAACAAAAATGGGTCCTATAAATACCGAAGATTTGAGGTGTTACTACCACTAGAGAGTATCATACAAATAAAAGGGGGAGAGATAATGACAATAGATGCTCTACACCAGCCACCCACATGAATGTCATACGTTTTAAAGCAGAAACTCAATTTACTACGGCATGACGTTCAGAGTAGGGTCACGACCTCAATTACTGCTTGATTATTTATTGAGTATTAGTTCGAGTAAAGAGAAGCATATCAGTTTGTATGTTTGAGTAAAGAAGAGCACATCAACACAAATAAATCCCTTCACAAATAAAAGTAACATCCAGGGCGGAAGAGAAGTAACTGACTTTGCTACCTACTGTCAGTAGATAGCAAGATACAGAGAGTAAAGTAAAGGAAATAATAGCAAACAGCCTGTAATGGAATACAAGGCTTTTATCTCCTTGCTATGCTAACGGCATGCTTAAAAAACAATCGTTACAAAAGACAAAGAACACAAGAAAAACGTAGGCACCGGGTTTGAACTCACATTTCGCACAGAGCTTGCCTTTGTAGCCATCCTGACAACCATCCGGACATTCTCCGGAGACGGGGTCGCAAGTGACACGATGCCGGCACGCCCCACACTTATTGACACAGCTTGGACCATAAAATCCATGCCTACACTCTGTGTATAGAGAGATGAAAAAGACTTTTAGAGACTTACATACACACACACACACATACATATACCTGTGCACCTACAAACACACATACACAAATACATACTCCCCACACTTGCCCATACAGTTTGGAGAGTACTTGCGCTGAAACTCTTGAGTATAGGTGGAGGAGAGGAACTCGTAGATATTTACAAAACTTACACACACAAGGAGGAGGAGGGGGAGGGGGAGGAGGA